ACTGTGATACAATCTTTCTGACCCATTAAACATAAAGTTATTATTAAATTTGACATCCCAGGCTATTGGACAGAATAACACTTCTTCTATCCATCTATCCTCATATAAAAGGACCTAATGATCTATTTTGATAAAAATCTGCATGATAACATAATACAAATAAATTAAATGCAAATTATATTTCATCAACTGTATCAAAATAATGTTTCTTTGAGGAATTATATTACTATATAAGTGTTGTATAAATAGATTTTAAACCTGCATAATGATAATAGAAAAGTGTTTAACACAACGTTTGTAATACCACAGATTTACAGGTGTAGGCAGAAATCTATAACGGAGAGCATGGGCACAATCAGAAATCCATTGCTAATCTCATACATTTATCCATTTTGTTATTAGCTTTTGCATACATAAGAAAAGAAAAGAATTTACTTAATACAATCCATATGATTCTACAAGTTGGATAGTCTTACACTGAGAATAAAAATCATAAAAACCCAATTCTTTAATTATAAGTGCACAAATGAATAGTCTAGACTAAGACTGTATAAATAGATCGCAAAGCATCTGCAAAACAAATTAACATTATTAAAAAACACTGTTATACCTGGATACCACAGGTTAACTTGTAGCTCAGACTTTAAAATGTAAAATAATCATCATTATGCCACATTACAATGTTTTCTACCTCGTAATATTTTAAACTTTGTCTATGTTAAATTTTTGACAATTTGAAAAATAAAAATAAATCATGATTCAACTCTCAATTTCAACCATTTCTGTTAATATATCCGCTGTTACAAAGAAACATGCATTGAGTCCGAAACATACCTAACTCGTTATGGTAAAAATGACATGATTCCTCTGTTACATGACCACATTTGAAAGTTTCTCTTATAGCATACTCATGGCCCCAAAGTGTAAAATGCATTTTTGCAACAAGGGGCTCTGAACCTTAAACCCTCTGAGCATGCTAACCACTAGGCCGTGCTTGGCTTCGAAGTGAAAAGACTGAATGTACTGCTTCTATAAATACACACAACTGTGAATGATAAATGATTGTATTTTTAATGTAATACACTTCAATACAGGAAATTAAGTATGATACAAAAGAATACTTTATGATTGTAATGGGATGCAAAAAAAAGAGTATAATTGAATAGCAATAACACCAGCTCTCTCTCCAAATGAAGTGAAACATGTAATAAGTCCAAGATCCTCCTATAAAAGGACCTAATGATCTACTATGAGAAAAGTCTGCATGATAACATAATATAAATATTGTTCCCATATCATGAAATCATGCAACTGCCAGTTATACACAACCCTGATATCTCGGAGGTATACATGAGGGCAACTGTCATTTTCTTAACAGAATTACCAAGTGATAGTTACACAGTGTTGTTACTGTTTTTTCATCCAAAGTTACACAATGGACCATATGTACTCTGTCAACTGCAGGGAATGAAACCCCAGATTTTAGCATTGTAAATTCATAAAATTAACGCTGGATACAGGAGGACTTTATATGGAGTTAACATAATATATTTTGATCCAAAAAAAGCAAACAAATATCATTTGCATAATACACAAAAAACAAGTAAAACTCTAATTTAGTTATTTACATAATGAAAGGTATATCTAAATATTTAGATTTTTCATAATTTGAAAACCAAACTCTAACAATAACACGAAAAATCTGAATAAGCAACGTGATTTCATTTGTAGTCCAGAACTACAAACAAGCTAGAATAAAAGGAGTCACATGTCTCGACCTATAAACAAAATCATTGAAATCTACCTGATACATTTTCAAACATTAAATACAGTCATATAATTAAGTGTTACAAAATAGTTAGGTCAGAAAATGTGCTAGGCAAGGGTGAGACTAACAGGCTATAGCTGTGTGGGTGCTGTCAGGTGTTGACTGTTTATGTTCTCAATCTACTGATCTATCTACCTTAATATCTACCCTTCTTTATAAGTTATAGTTAGTTTGGGCTAGAATATGGTGGAATAAAAAAATAGTGTAATATTTATACCAAGTTCATCTGTATAGTAAATTATAAAACTTTTATGCTGTTATACATATAGTTAACTGCATACTAATTCCATTGTTTAACTACAGAATTTTGAAGAGTATACCAGTCAACTCTCCCCACCTTTTTTTTTAACAGAGTCCTGAGCATTTCATGGAACACATCTTCTAATGTATTTCTGTAATTGGATTCACCTCATTTTTTGTGATAAGTTCAACAGTTGGGCATCAGGTAAATTCTCAGAAATTGCAGAAAAGTAATCAATGAGAATAACAAAATTTTCTATATTATGGAAAGTGAAACTATAGCTATTAAAAAAAAAGGTCTCCCTTATTTTGAAATCTGACATTGACAGATATGAAATGGTGACACACAATCCCTTAACTTTTTTTGAGAAAGCTTTTATTTGTTTTTAAGCACAAAGCTGCACAATGGGTTATCTGTGCTTTTGATAAAATGAAAACCCAGCTTGAATGGGGCTTAAACTCAAGATTCTTCTTGCTAAATAGATGCTTTAACCAACCACGTCACACAAAATAATTCATGTCCAACAGCAGTTTTAATTTTTTTTATGAAAGCTTCTACACAGGTTAGCATGACTATTACAGTCCTACCTACATTATACATTTTTCAAAAAACAGTTCTAATTATGTAAAAAAATATCTAACTTCTTTTCTTTATACACTTTGGCAGTTGTTACAGAGTGTTGATGCTTTAGTTCTTTATTTTACAGTAAACCTGTCTATACTCTTCCTACAACATATTGGTTGGATTTTCTAATCAATATTAAATGCTGATTAGAGCAAGGTACTTACTCAGAGTGAAACAAAAATAACTCAACCTAGTAATGTAAATAATAAAATACTGAGGTGACTTCTATTGGCTATAGTACTTGTTAACTAACTTGTAGTTAATTTTTCTTATTTTAACCAACAGCATGAAAGAACACATATTATACTTTATCTCATTATACGTTACAAGCAGTGTAAGCTTCTGCAATGAGATGATAAAATTCAGAGATTATTAAGGTATTTTTAACTTTTTTTAGTTACAGTTGTAAACTCTAAAGATGACCCCCACCTGGTAAATGAGAAACATATTTCTATTTTTATTCATTCAGTATATATACATACATACACACACACACACATACTATATATATATATATATATATTGACTGTACTTCTTACTCAGCTCCCTGGTAACTCAGTGGTAAACTTGAGGTTTGATCCTTGTTGTGGGCACAGTGCACATAACCCATTGGGCAGCTTTGTACTTTGAAAACAAACACACTTTTTACTTAAGAGTATTATTCAAAATTACATTGAAAAAAAAAAAACAATATAGAGAGAAGAAAAATTGGTCATCACTTCTGACAAACTACCTTCAATTATTTACATTTTCAGCTTTAATTATAAAGTACTTACATTTTGTGATTCAAAATTTGCTAATTCCAACATTAAATGGACAAAAAAAAAAGACAGTCAAGTCTGGTTTACATTCTAAATGTTTAGTTCAGTACATTTACTAATATAACAGTGTCAACTATTTTATTATATTTTGCACCTTCAAAAACTCAGGAATGGTATTCTTTATATTAGTTTTCACAAAACCTTATGTTTCAGGAACCTAAACTTTAAGTGGACAAAAATAATTTTTATTAGATTTCACAAACTGGACAATATAGGCCAATAAAATATATCTTAAAAATAATCATCTGACATACTAGTAGTGGCTAAGTTCTTGAATTTAATTCTTAATATTTTTTAACATACAAATGAAGAAGAATTTTTCTTTTGCATATATTTATATATTTTTTAACTTTATGTCAAAACTTTTCACCCAACTAGGTGCTAAAATGAATAAATATAACTATTAAATTATATATAGATATAACAAATTTTATAAATATATATATTAAAAAATAATAATAAAAATGCAATGGAGAAAGGAAGGTGAGGATTACTTTTTTTTTACTTTTTTAACCAAAGACT